AGAGCATATATGATGATGTGAAATATCTATGTGCAATATAATTGCTTTAATGATTTCTGAGAGATATCGCATTAAAGGCAGCTGAGTGTGTGCATTAACCATAAATTGACGCAAAAAAGTGACCTATTTGTGACTGCAATAGCATGCAATAATGGGGTTATAAATTATTTAAGAAGGGTTTCTTATTTCGATAGAAAAAACACTCGAGCATGACAAACAACATTGCTTACTAGTTAAACCATATTTAAAAGACGAAATTCCACTAAATTATCGTAAGGCCCCAGCAACATATGAACTTACGCAGACATGGATTAGTTCAAGAATAATATCGGAATGATCTGCGCTGAAAGGGTGATAACTTAAATGCATGAACTGATGTCCGCTAAATTTTGAAAATAATACCACGCTCAAAATGCATGAACAAAAGACCTTTGCGTTTCACCTTAATGATATAGGGAAAATCTACGTCAAAATTGGCTTATTCATCAAGGTTTTGTAAAGGGCGCAACAAAACAATACTACACTTCATAAAGGATAGGCCCTGACAAGAAAATGTGAAGTTCCCGAATAAAAGTTGCAAAAAAGACAAACAAAGCTCACCCACGCGCTTGTCACTGCTCCGATGATGGCAATCAATTGGCACATTGTTAGTAAGAGCAGTAGTCTGGGTAAAGTCCCTCATGCTAATGACAAAGACCCTTGTTAACTTCAGCAACAAAAAGTAAAGTACATTATTTTGCCGAGCCACAAAAGCTTTAGCACGCCGATGACATAACTGCGTGCACCCAGTTATACATTATCAAAAAACATCGCAAAACCAAATAAAAAGGATCAATACACTCAGTGCTCAACAAAGCTACATCAGCTAAAAATATCAGCAAGTGCACAGGAAATACTTAATTAGCAATAAAATATGGATGATAAGCAATCTGTATGCCATGGGAGCAAACCACAGCTCAACACATTTGATACCGGCTCCCGTCATCGACCTTTAACAGAAATTTTTTTAGAAAAATAGTATAAATTATTAAAATTTGATAAAATTTTCCGGAGCCACTTAAAAAATACTAAATTTAACCGATTTTTGAGAATTTTTAAAGATGCAAAACTACCGATATTGCACACAAAATTATTTAATACAGAGCCAATTTAAAAGTTTCTTATGTGAACATCCGATGCCTTCAGGTGACTTCGGAGTTCGTGGATCGGCCTTATGACCAAGCCAAGAACAAACCTCTTTTGGCATGTCTAGAGAGCATGGTCTTAGCTCAGTCTAGTACTTTCCACGTAGCAAGAAGCATCAAGTAGCAAAGCAACAACAATTTAGAAAAATAATTTGTAGTGGTTCGTGTTGAGTAGAGGAAGACATCATGTTGAAATGATGACATGTGGGGCTAGGTCACGGCATATCGTTAAGGCGAGTCCACTAGTCCAAAGGCGAGACTAACCCTAGGCACGCAGCTAGACACTGCAAAAACAAAGTACTGCACGGGCCATCATACTAGAACTCAGAGTGTAACAAGTTTTTTGGTTTATATTGCATACTACTTAAGAAATACAATATTCTATGCTTTACTGCTCACCAATCAATTCTGTTAGCAACAATACGTCTTTAAAGTCATTCAAAATACCAAAAAATATGTTTCCTTCGATTAGTACAAAAATAGATTTTGTATGTATCTTGCTAGAGGCCGCGCAATATATATTTGGAACGTGGTTTGGTTGCCTGTCTGAGCAGATGTCTTGGCTCTTCGGCTACTCGAGGCCACACCTTCCCGACTTAGGAAGTGACACTTCGGCGTCTGCACCTCCACCACCACCTCCAAGAAAGGATGACAAAAAGAATCTTGAAGAAGCCATCTCTGGATTCAGGTTTGACTCTGCGGCCTTAGAAAGAGCAGCCAAAGCCGCTCGTGAACTGGAGGGTTCAAGTACGTTTTGAAATACTTATTCTTCAGAGTACGCCAAGGAGGCATTTGAGTTGTCTCGAATGAACGAGCATACGCAACAGTTAGAGTATCAAACCAAACTAAGGGAATATGAACTTGGAATCGAGCAAATGAAGAGCCAGCAGATACGTGTACAGCAAGAAGAACGACGAAAAACTCTAGAAGAAGAAGCAAAAATTCAGAAGCATCGTGTCGAGTATCAGGACATGCTTGCCAGGAAACGTCAGGAAGATCAAATGGCTCAACAAGTATTCGTCTTCCTTTCTTAATTGCCTAGGCTCGCATGCACGAAGAAACGCTGAGGAAACAAGAGGAGTCTGTTCAAAAGCAGGAATCAATTCGACGACGTACACTTCGCATGTGTTTTGTTACTATTTTCTATAGAAACAATTGAGTACGAGGCAAATTTGCGTCACCAAAATGAGCTTAAGCAAATAGAGGCTCGGCTCCGTGGTGAAGCCCAAATTGAACGGGAAAATCGTGACATAAGGCTGGAGAGATCTCGTATTGAAGCGAGGGAGTATCGGGAGACTATTTTGCAGTCAATACAAACAGCGGGATCTGTAATTGGTGCTGGTTTTAATGCATTCTTTGCTGATCGATTCAAAGTCGCAACTGCTGTTGGTGCTGTGACTGTTTTGGCTGGTGGTGTATATGCTGCCAAATTTGGACTCGGTACCTTGGCCCGGTACGTGGAATCTCGGATCGGCAAACCTTCACTGGTGCGGGAGACGTCTAGGCTCAATGCCGTCGATTTGATTCTACATCCGATTCAGGTATTCGTAACTCATTTTCGATGTTTGTTTCAGGCTATTCAGAAAACATTCAACCGCCCTGGTGACCCCCTGAAAAATATTGTACTTGAAGTAGGTCTGCTCAGTTTGATGCTTTTTTTAAACTTAGCCTAGTCTTGAAGCGCATTTGCGAAAGGTTGCTATCGCTACACGGTACACCAAAGCAAACAAAGGCTTTTACAGGAATGTTCTTATGGCTGGTCCTCCCGGAACTGGCAAAACTATGATGGCCAAGGTGTGTTGTACTCTGTTTCGATGTTTGCGACATATCTATTCCGATGTCATGCCTTCTTGTCCTTTAGAGTTTGGCTGTCCATTCCGGTTTGGATTATGCTATTATGACTGGCGGGGATATTGCGCCCTTGGGGAGTGACGGTGTAACGGCAATTCACAAGGTGTTCAATTGGGCCAGAACTAGTCGTAGAGGGTGGGTTGTTTTCGTGCTTTTTTACTTCGCATTCCCTCATTACTACTGTTCGGTCATTTGTGGGATGCAGTGGAACACAATCCAATTCACACTTGTGGTTCTCTTGCTGTGCATATGTGGGGTTCGGCCTCTTATACCAGACTTGAATAATAGACCCCCCTAAATTTCCTAACTTATCCTTTGTGGCATGAAACTGATTCACTTGAGCCAAATTTAGCTATCTAGATTCCATTTCAGTGTTCTGTTATTCGTCGATGAAGCTGACGCCTTTCTGCGAAAGCGTGAACAGGAGCGAATCTCCGAAGGAATGCGCGCAACTCTAAACGCTTTCCTCTATCGAACCGGTGAACAATCTCAGAAGTCAGTTTCCAATGCCTGTCCCCCCTACATTTAATTCGCGTCTTTACTAATCTTGTAGTCAAAGTAGTCGCAGGGTTTCGGAACTGTTTACAGAAACCTCAGATCGACTAGTAGATGCACGCTTCCGAGGGCTACATGTTAGCTCTAGGGATTGGAGTGTTGCTAAGCACTAGTATTGTTTCATTCGTTTTTTTTGTGATGTTCCCGGAAGCATTTGGTCTTGTTGCTTTGGTGTAGTAGAATGCTGGTGTCCATCCCGCATAGGTTCATGTTGGTTTTGGCAAGCAACCAGCCGGAGCAGTTTGACTGGGCCATCAATGATCGAATGGACGAAATTGTTTATTTTAACCTGCCGAAACAGCGGGAGAGGGAGCGGATGATTCGTCAGTACTTTGATCTCTACCTTCTCCAGCCCTCAATGGACAGGAAGCAGCGCATCCACCTCGCTGACGACATTGACTATGCAACCAAGTGCAAGGAGGTGGCAGCCCGAACTGAGGGTCTCTCGGGTCGTGAGCTTTCCAAGATCGCCATCGCCTGGCAGGTTGGTCGCTACGCCACACTAAATATCTCAACTATTGTTTCGCCTCCCAGACACTATAGAGTTCGTAATACGGTTCCTGAAATTAAATTTATAGAAAAGATTCCGCATTTGCTAGGGCTGGGTTTTGGAGGAACTACTTAACTTATCTAAGCCATAAATCACGAGTTCGTTCGCACGTTTGTATCCTCTATAGACAGCGGCATTTTCAAGCAAAGACGGTACTCTTAATGAGGAGATGATGGACAACATTGTAGACAATGCGGTAGCAGCGAACAAGAAAAAACAGGAATGGCGGCAGTGTCGGCTTCCCGATTGGCAAACAGAGCACCTGCAGCCTCCACCTTAGTTCCAAGTAGCGCCACTATTTCTTCAGACGCAGTCCATTACCCCCCATCTGTAGATGCAACTGACCGACCAGTGCCCCCCCAGCTCCGCTTGTGAATCCCCCTCTATCCTGCGTTAATACATGATGTGCATTCACATTGGTAACCTGGCTTATTAGTGGCTGGTATAAGTCACGCAAATTACCATGCTGTCCTTCCATCCCGTTTCATTGACGCCCTAAGGCAATGGGAATAAAAGATCTTGTATTATTCTCAAGTCGCAACATGATAAAACACATTTCGGGAAAAGCAGCCCTCGTTAACGATTTAGAAGATTTTCCCACCGAATCCGAAAGTTTGCTGAATCGGCATGAAGTAGTGTGTTTTCCAGCCGGACTGTGTTCCCTCCTCGTCACTGGAGGGTACATTAGTCTGAGTGACCTTCAACCGGGTTCCGGTTTCCGTTTGTTCTAAATCCAATTTCACTGTGCTATAATGGTTTTCCGGCCAGTTATCTTTCCGCCAACTCATCGATATGACTTTGTTCGGCTCCTAGGACAGTGTAGTTATGTATTATCGCTTGGGCCCATAGATAAAGGCAATTCGGGATCTTAGTTAGCAAACTCCTATTCGCACCCATTCTAAGGTGCTGTTGGGAAAAAATAAGCAGACAGTACTAACCAGATCAATGAAGGTCCCGGACACATTCCCGTCAAAAATTGAATATTTTCCACCAGGAGTGGACTGTACAGTAGCGTTGCCACGAGTGAACAACTTTGTGAGCTAGAATGAAGGCAGAATGAAGACATCATCCGCCGGTGGAACGGTAGTGGGACGCAAAAATTAAGAATGAAGCGATAGAAATCAAAATAAAACAATATTGGGTGGTCTTACGCCTATACTCACGGTAATGTTTCCCAGTTGCGAGATACTAATCGCATAAGCACTGGCGAAAGTAATCTGAGAGTAGATTGCCACTCAGGGAAAAATACTTAAAACAAACATGAAGTGACTCCGACTTTCACGCATTTGACCGAAAATTAAGTTACAAACTAAAATCTACTAACCAGACGGTCTAATCGTGAGTAAACCACAGAACGAACATTGCACCACCAATGAATTAAAGGAACACGTCTCTATTCTCAAATCGTTTTAAGTAGGAAGACATGAATGTAAGTAACAATACGTACCTCTTCTGTAACGAAAACCTTATACAGATCTTCAGGCGTGCATA